AATCGACAAGTTCATCCTTTCGAGCTGATAAGGCCCATAGGGTAATTAATAATGATTGTTTTATATCTTATGAAATAATTTACAGATTAATTGTCATTGCTAAGTTAATAAGATATCGTTGTATTGAATTTATAAGTGTAAACAATATTTTCTATGAAGTCAATTTGTGTGATATACAAGGATTACATGTTGCTATTGTTTGTTGTAGAATTTTACTCTGTTGCTTCGCAACAGTGTTGCTGCCTAATAAAAACTAAAACCTACGAACAGCTTTACTTCTATGGAGACAGTACAGTAAAATTCCTGGGATTTTAACAACCAAACAATGAATGGGCAAGCGGACGACCAACAAAATCCGAACAACGACAAGCGAATCAGATCAATGACAAGCACAGATACGGAAATCTACAGAAAATCAGTAGAAAAACAAACTTCACACCTCTATACAATAGAGAGAGACATTGATTATGAAAGCAACCAAATTTCCATTGATAAGAGTGCTGAAGAACTGTCCACTATACAAACAAACATCCTCAGTCTACATAAAAGATATCAGGACAAGTCAAACCGATTTATGGATTTCTTAACCCATCAAAATTCAGTTGAAAGTATCAGTGAAAAAATGCACATGATGTAATTGAAAAAACTGTGGACTCAAAAGTGCAACATATTCTTAGTCAAATCAAACAAACTCTTGGAAAAAGAAACACTCAAACTAAGCATGAAGACACAAGGTCAGAGTCTCGAAGGTCAGGTAGTAGTTATAAACTGTCCAGATCTTCTAGTGCGAGTGGCAGTTACGTACCTATGCAGGAATTCATGGAGCGAAAGGCAAAGGCAGAAGCAGCGAGAGTTCAGATGGAATATGAGAAGAAACAATTGGAATTGAAGAAAATAAAAGCTGAAATAGTAGAAAATGAGGTCAAGGTCAAGGCAGAAATTCAACGTCGACAGTCTGAAATTCAAGCTAACATGGATGTACTAGATGCGGAAATGAATCTGAGTGTGGCCGAAGCTGAACTTAAGGTATTTGAAGATGAATTGGAAAATTCCAGAAAGTTTGACATTTTAAAAAACAAATATGAAGAGCAGGACCCTCAAGAAAGAACAGAACGCTATGTCGCAGAACAACGGCCATTCATCACACAGAACTCTTCATATAAGTGATTGCCTGGTCCAGAGTTTGGGGATCTTTGTCCAGAGTGACCAGTGCAGCCCTTTTTTCTGTGCATCTGCGTTGAAAGGCATCGACGGTGATGGTACTTTTAAAGACTTCAGGGGTCTCTGGATACCCTTCAGCCGCAAGTTCTTCTATGCGCTCAGCAAATTCTTCAATCGTCTCTTCTGGATTTTGCTTGATTTCCTGCAATTGCCTACGAATGATGTGTGGCTGGTCCTTCTTGTCAAAGCGTTCTTTCAATTTCTGACATAGGAGCTTGTAGTCTTGTTGTACGTTTTCCGGTCTTGAACTAAAAAATTTTAAAGCCTTATCTCTCAAATTTTCGATCAACTTGTCTAATTTGTCTGAATCGTTCCATTTGTATTTTTTGGCGATATGATTGAACTGAGTAAAATATGGTCTCCATTCTGATTTCCCATCATAGGTAGCAAGTTTTGGAGGTGCTGGACTAGAAATTGTGATTTTCTTCTCTTCTGATTTTTCTACATTTATTTCGCTCTTACGGTTATAGATACTGTGTGGGGCAAATTTTTCTATTTTAGATGTGAGTCGTTGATGTTCTAATTCTGCACGTATTTGATTAAATTCTTTCTCTCTTTTCACAATCTCTCTCTCTCATCCATCTCTTTCATTTTTGATCTTAAATTTTCTTCCCTCTCAGCACGCTCTTGTTCTTCTAATGCTCTTACTTTTTGTTTTTGCTCTTCAAATCTCTCGTACTGCTCATTCAATTCTTGTTCTCTCAAATTCATTTTCTTTTGTAACTCTTCAAACATCCCATCATATTTCTCTCTATTCACCACCAAACTTTTCTGCAACATTTAAATTTCCTCTTCACTATTCTCCAGGCGGTCATTTTTCTCTTGTAACAATTGATCTTTTTCTCTTATTTCTTTCTCTCTCTCCATGATCTCATTTTCTCTCTCTCCATGATCTCATTTTTTCTCTCTCTAATCTGACATTCTTTCTCTCTTAATTCCCTTTGCAAATATTCAATTTGTTGGGATAAGTTTTCTTGTAGTTGGAGTGTTTGTTGTTGTTCTGTCGATTCAGTATGAATTTGTGTTTTATCTTGTGATTGTCCGGAGATCTGAGTGGGCAAAGTACTCCTTAAAGTTGATGGAATAATTATTTTATCCTGATCGAACAATGGGTCCCAGATGTTACTAGGGATACTAGGGATTACCTTAAGGTCTTCCAATGTAATGGTTCCCTTATTTAACCTTGCATCTAAAATTGCTTGAGCTCTTACTTTACCTACATTGTTTATCCTCGTGAGATCTTCAATTGAGGCTGTGTTTATGTCTATAGGGGTAGTCATGATCTTGATCTTATTGACCCACTATATTATTAGCCTACCTATTTACTATCAATGATCTTATATGATGTATTTGACTAACTCATCAGACACTCCGACGAAATAGTCATGCAATTGTATGAGATGCAAAAAACATGCTGTTGTAGGGTAAGAAAAATAAGTAAAAATGAAAAATATTCAAAAATAATGACAAAGAATCTTATAAAATACTAACACTATTTTTTCAATGTACCCTGATCTTATTTAGGAGACAAAGAATTTATTTTTAAGTATGGCGCCAAAATACACGATCTTTTTGTGCGGGGTTTTTGATTGAAATATACAACCACTTCTGACACCAATGTTGTGTTAGTATATAAACATAAATGTATACAACGAAATAAAGAATAAATAAACAATAGGTGAGTTTCAATGAGTTGATAACTCACCAAAGATTTGACTTGAGTCACCGGATCCCACAGGCCGTATAAACGTCTGGTCACTGTAAGGTCCTGGAGGTAACTGCTAAAAACTGTTTATATGCTATTAATAGACATTAAAAGTATCCCGATCCTGATCATAAATACATAGGTTATTACTACAACTCTTCATGAATTATTAATGAAAAAAATATTCATGTATCTCCTCAATTTCATTTTATGAATTAAAATTCATGATTATAAAATGTCCAATAATAAGTTCATAGGATTTTCATGAATATTTCATGAATAAAATTCATGAATGATTCAAGAAAAATCGTGATTTATTCATGATCACCTCCCAGGGGTTGTTTCTCAGCTATTTTATTCATCAGGTTAGCTTACACGAGTAGTTTGACGAATGAGTTAAATTTCAAATTCAAAGACGTGTTATATTAATTAAGGAATAACTGTCTTATTTTTTGAATTCATGAAGTGATCAATGGATTGGCTTGTGTGATAATTTGCATAAACGCCGAAGGCGTTTATGCATTAAATTATCACACAAGCCAATCCATTGATCATCTTCATGAATTCGAAAAATCTGACAGTTATTCCTTATATTTACATGCTTTTGATTCCACCAATCCAAGGGCTCCAAGCCTGCTTCTCTCTAGGTGTTGTCCCGCCTTGCACGTGGTTTTTTTTTGGAACCGCGCCAAGACATTCATGAGGAAATAAAATACATTTACATTTGGTAATTTTATCTCGGACAAAGATATTGGAAATGTAAATATTCGTACATAAAACTATTCGTTTAAACAATCCCTGCTTTGCAGTTCTGGGGTTTTATGTGGTATCAACAATAAATATGCATTGCATAGACTCGAAATATGGTTGGTGAAACATGTAGTAAAATTAGTGTATACCCGACATATAGAAAATTGGAATAAAAAACAGTTAGTAGCAATACTCATGAAAATTTAAGTATCAAACGAGGTAAATTATTGACAAGCAAGTTGATGAATCAAGAAGATCAGCAGTCTCGTTCAAAGTTATTTTTTCGTTAGTTCTATGGTCGATACAATTACCTTGTCAGCAAATACAATTTATCATTGAGAAAATGCTGATTGACGTTTTTTAGACCAATTGTTAGTCCATTATTTATACACTGAATTGACGACGGATTTTTCCGTTATTTCCTGATCATGACAAGGAGCACACGGCGGGTGTGACCTGTAACGTATTTGTTTATCTCAACATTTGTACGACCTACTTTGTTAGATTTCATGTACGACTTGTCTGTTGTGTTCTTTGTGTTTATGTTGACTTCCGGTTTAATAAATGTTGTTCTGATTATCCTGAATCTTTATCCTGCATCATCTGCCCTGAACAGGCACGAATATGAAACATGGTGGCAGCGGTGGGATTTAAAGAACCTCATCTTTTGCGATATCTAGCCATGGATAAATTGAAAGCTCCGGAAACGCTGAATTTCGATGCTACAGATTTAGCACACACGTGGAAAAAATGGAAAGAAGAATTCTCGCTCTATGTTGACCTAGCTATGGCAGAAGCAGAGGAGAAACAGAAGGTAAAAATGCTTAAATACCTCATCGGAACACGTGGAAGAGAAGTGTATGACACACTAACATTCACAGATGCTGAAGAAAACAGAACTTTGAAGGTAATTTTAGAGAAGTTCGATGCCTATTGTAACCCTATGAAAAACGAAAGTGTGGAACGATACAAGTTTAATTCTAGGAATCAACAAAGTGGGGAAACAATCTACAGTTATGTGACTGAACTTAAGCTTTTAGCAGCACATTGTGTCTTTGGCGATTTAGAGGAATCGTTAGTCCGTGACCGCATTGTTTGTGGAATTAGAGACTTGCATCTACGTGAAAGACTCTTACGTGAATCAAACCTAACATTGAAAAGCTGTCTTGATATATGCAGAGCATCAGAATTGTCAAAGGAGAGAATGAAGGAGATTGAGACTCCAATAGCAGCAGAAGTACACGCTCTGAGATGAAACGGCTACAAACCAAAGACTAATCTGCGCAGTGCTCAAGCGACACCAAAATTGTTAGCTAAAAACTGTATGTATTGTGGAAGTAAACATGAAGCTAGCAAACTCAAGTGCCCAGCCTATGGAGAAACATGCCACAAATGTAAAAAGAAGGACCACTTTAAAGCCATGTGTGGACAACACTCAAAGTCAACGCAGAATTCTGGACGGAAACCAGGTAAATACAACAGAAAATTGCATCAAGTTACTGATAAGGACTCGGACTCTGACTCTAATGAAAACTACTATGACACAATCCGAAGTGTCACGTCTGAACCAAAGAAACATGTTTATGCAACTATGAATATCGGCAAAACACCCATAAAGTTTCAAGTCGACAGCGGCGCAAGTTGCAACGTTATTCCGATAAGCAAGCTAGATGAGAGCGGATCCCACTACAAACTCACCAAGTCAACAACTGTTCTAACTACATACGACAAGTCACGGATCCAGCCCCTAGGAAAAACAAGTCTGAAACTTGTAAATCCCAAAACCAAGGAACTCTATGACACTGAATTCATTGTAGTGAAGCAGGACACAACACCAATACTGGGGAGTCAGACCATCCAAAGGATGAAACTAATAACTATTCATTATGACAACATTCTAACTGTTACTGAGGAAACATTAACAGAAGAGTATGTTTTCAGCCAATACAAAGATGTGTTCGATGGTACAGGATGCTTAGCAGGGACATATTCACTCCAAACTGATCCCTCGATAAAACCTGTAGTCCATCCGCCAGGGAAAATTCCAGTAGCTCTGAGGGACAAGCTCAAGACACAACTGGAACGGCTTACAGAGAAGGAAATAATTACCCCTGTTACCGAACCAACACCGTGGGTAAACAATCTCGTAATTGTGGAGAAGCCTAACAAATTAAGGATTTGTCTCGACCCTCGTGATCTGAATGGGGCCATTCAGCGCAGCCATTACCCAATGCCCACAGTTGAGGAACTCTTACCAGACTTGAACAAAGCGAAGGTATTTTCTGTTGCCGATGCCAAAACTGGATTCTGGCATGTTAAACTTGACAAGGCCAGTTCAATGCTAACAACCTTCAACACACCGCATGGTCGCTATCGATGGCTTCGAATGCCATTTGGACTAAACTCAGCGCCAGAGGAATTTCAGCGGCGACAAAATCAGACTGTAGAAGGACTGCGTGGAGTACGTTGTGTACATGATGATATTCTGATCTTTGAAGAAGGCTCGACTGACGAGGAAGCTTATCGAGGTCATGACCGTAATTTCCGAGCACTTATGGAACGCTGTTGGGAAAAGAATCTGAAACTAAACAAGGAGAAACTGAAGTTTAGACTCAAAGAAGTTCGGTTCGTGGGACATCTACTGACCAGCAGTGGAGTTCGTGCTGACCCAGACAAGGTAAAGGCCGTGAAAAATATGCCCACACCCACTGATGTGTCAGCTGTACGACGATTTGTAGGTTTCGTAACCTATCTCAGCAAGTTTCCTCTCAGGCTTAGCAATCTTTGTGAACCTCTTAAAAATGACTGTTCAAGATGCAGAATGGAGCTGGCTTGAAGCCCATGATAAAGCCATACAAGAGATCAAGACACTAGTTTGTAAAAGTCTTGACTTGAAATACTATGATCATAAAGAGGAATTGACACTCCAATGTGATGCTTCGCTAACAGGATTAGGAGAGAGTCTATTGCAAAATGGACAACCAATAGCCTTTGCAAGCAGAGCTCTCACGGATGCAGAGACTCGTTACACTCAAATAGAGACTCAAATCGAGAAGGAGATGCTAGCAATTGTATTTGGCTTAGAACGTTTTCACCAGTACACCTATGGACGCTTAGTACATGTGGAAAGTGATCATAAGCCTCTAGAATCTATCGTGAAGAAATCACTATTAGCAGCACCCAGACGTCTTCAACGAATGCTGCTCCGGTTACAGCAGTATGAGTTCACAATTTCTTATAAACCAGGAAAGACTATGTATCTTGCAGATACATTAAGCCGAGCTTACCTTAATGAAACAGGGACAACGAGCTTCGAAAGGGACTTAGAAATTGTAAACATGGTGCAGTACTTACCCATGACTGATGTTAGACTTTCCGAGATTCGCAAGCACAGCTATCAGGATGAGTCATTACAAGTTCTCATGGACGTCATACTTCATGGTTGGCCTCAGAAGCGAGAAGAAGTCCCTCACCTTGCAAGACCATACTTCGATTTCAGAGATGAGCTGAGTGTTCAGGATGGAATTCTATCTAGGGGTGAGCGTGCAATAATCCCTAAAGCAATCCGCTTGGATATGATGCAGCGAATACATTCCTCGCACTTGGGAATTGGAGGATGTCTTCGCCGAGCAAAGGAGTACGTTTTCTGGCCCGGAATGCACTCTGAAATTTCTCAGTACATACAAAGTTGTGAAACTTGCCAGATGTTTGAAACCAAACAACAAAAGGAAACCCTGATACCTCATGATGTTCCAGACAGACCTTGGACGAAGGTTGGAACTGATCTGTGCTCATTTGCTGGAAATGACTATTTAGTGACTGTTGAATATTTTTCAAATTTTTGGGAAATAGATTTCTTGGAGAACACAAAACCTACTACAGTGATCAGGAAATTGAGGAATCATTTTGCTCGCTACGGAATCCCACACATTGTCATTTCAGATAATGGCCCTCATTTCAGCTGCAAGGAATTTGCTACATTCGCATTAGAATACGAATTCCAACACATCACGTCATCACCAAACTATCAGCAAAGTAACGGGAAGGTAGAACAGGCTGTGAAATCTGCAAAGCGTATAATGAAACGAGCTCGCAACTCTCAACAGGATGGCTACCTCAGCATTCTTGACTTTTGAAACACACCAACAGAGGGAATGCAGAGTAGTCCTGCACAGAGATTAATGTGCCGTCAAACAAAGTCGCGACTACCAACAACCCCAGCTCTTCTTGAACCAAAAATCCCAATGTCTGCACATGCGGAAATCAAGCACAACAAGCATCAACAATGCAAGTACTACAATAGAAACGCAAAGGACCTACCTGATTTAGAACATGGACAGCGTGTCTGGATATCACCAAAACGAAATGATCCAACGAAATCTTGGACAAAAGGGACTATCGCAAGCAAAGTGAACATTCGGTCTTATGAAGTAAACACAGACGAAGGACAGTCGCTTCGCAGAAACAGGAGAGATATCCGTATCAACAGAGGTACAAACGAACAACCACGACAACCTGTAGACCTCGATTTACCAGATTCGAAACCAGATGCTGACAACCCAAACGCTGACAAATCCGACCAGTCGAAGGAGTCCGCTCAAGCACGCGAACCAATAGTGTCCAATGAAACTCGTGAACATCAACAAATTCAAACAGGTCTTCATATTCCGCAACACACCAGATCGGGAAGGGTTGTGAAATTGCCATCAAAATACAATGACTTTGTATCAACTTGACACTGCCATGGCCTTAAATATACCGGTATATATGAACTTTTGTAATGCATGCTACTATATGTCCATTTAGTTTAAAGACGAGTCTAGTCCCAGATACTTTCTAGTCATATGTCAATTTTGTTAGAATCAATTGTAGTCAAGATACATTCTAGTCGTATGTCAATTTAGTTCAATATCAGATTATCTTTGAAATTTGTTCTAGTCAAGTTCCACTATATTTCTTAAAGAAAGAGGGATGTAACGTATTTGTTGATCTCAATATTTGTACGACCTACTTTATTAGTCTATTAGATTTCATGTACGACTTGTCTATTGTGTTTTCTGTGTGTTTATGTTGACTTCCGGTTTAATAAATGTTATTCTGTTTATTCTGAGTCTTCATCCTGAATTATCTGCCCTGAACAGGCACGAATATTAAACATGACTGGTCGGCAGGGGCTGCTCACTCCTCCATGGCACCTGATCCTACCTTTGTTGTTTCAGGGGTCCGTGTTTGCTCTTCTCTTATTGCAGCCCGGAGGACCGGGCTGCTCTATACATATAAGTTTAAGTGTTGGTGTATGGGGATTTGGGTGGGAGTAGTTATTTAGAATTATAGGTTTTCTAAACATTGAAAAAATGTTAATCAGAATGTTCTTTGCGTTTATAAATTACGAGATACATGATATATTTACTTCCATAAAGTGAATCTGTAAAAACTAGAACTGTCCAATTGGGACAAAATACCCCCCGCTGGGTTTTTTAGAAGTACGTTTTTGCATAATAAAGATATGTATCAAACACGAATTATAAAATTTTTCTTCCAGTGACCTTGAACTTCCCAAATGACCTTGGGTCAAGGTCATGACACATCCTTGGGTCATAGGCAATCTTTGAGTAAAATAAAAACCTACCAAGTTTATCAATAAGAAAGATATGGACAGGACACAAATTATGAAATTTTTCTTCCAGTCACCTTGAACTTCCCCAAATTACCTTGGGTCAAGGTCATGACACACCCATAGGTCATGGGCAATCTTCGTGTGAAATGAAAACCTACCAAGTTTATCCTTAAGAAAGATATGGACCGGACACAAATTATTAAATTTTTCTACCAGTGACCTTGAACTTCTCCAAATTACCTTGGGTCAAGGTCATGACACACCCTTGGGTCATGGGCAATCTTTATGTGAAATGAAAACCTACCAAGTTTATCCATAAGAAAGATATGGACGGGACACGAATTATGAAATTTTTCTTCCAGTGACCTTGAACTTCCCCAAATGACCTTGGGTCAAGGCCATGACACACCCTTGGGTCATGGGCAATCTTTGTATGAAATGAGAACCTACCAAGTTTATCCATAAAAGATATGTGTCAAACATGAATTTTGAAATTTTTCTCCCAGTGACCTTGAACTTCCCCAAATGACCTTGGGTCAAGGTCATGACACACCCTTGGGTCATGGGCAATCTTTGTGTGAAATGAGAACCTACCAAGTTTATCCATAAGAAAGATATGGACCGGACACGAATTATGAAATTTTTCTTCCAGTGACCTTGAACTTCCCCAAATGACCTTGGGTCATGGTCATGACACACCCTTAGGTTATGAGCAATCTTAGTGTGGAGTAGTAGATTCTAATGTCCCTCTGTAAGAAAGATATGGACCGGACACAATTGCACAGACAGACGGACAAGGTGATTCCTATATACCCCCCCCCCCAAACGTCGTTTGCGGGGGGTATAAAAATATATGTTTTTCATATTTAATATATGAAGTTGCTTATCATTTACTATCGAAAAAACGACAGGTCCCCTTTTTTAGAACATCGAATTTTACTCCTCCGATAAAAACGTACTCTGCACAGTTCGTGTGTTATATTGTAAAATTGAAAATTAATACATTTTTAAATATGGATGATTCGTGTGTCTAACTTCAATTTATATTTTGTGCAGCAAACATTAACTTAAGGAATTGATCAAGTTTAAAATGGTATCGTTTTTGATGGATTTCTATCCGACTACAAGTTTTCAAAATATTCGCTCTTCAATTAGACGCATGCCTCTTCACTCATATCGAAGCGGTGTGATGATCATGTTTACTTAATATATTTCCCGGGCGACATGTCCTGTGAACATCCTTACTTAATTGTCTTGCTTATGACAACCATTCACCCTCATTGGGATTATATAACTGAAGTGTGTCTATCAACCCTTTGGATGCTGTTAAAAATTAAATCTCGCATGTTTAATTTAGTGAGAAGGGATCTAGTAGGAGAAAGAGGGAGGAGGCGGCCTTCAAACCCTTCATTGCAGGAGGTCTATGGTGTTTTAGGCTATGTGTACACAAAAATCTACGCTATTATGTAAAAAATTAAGAAGAGCCGATTCCATCTTCCAGATACATTGATAGCAATGAACTTTCAGCGAAGTTTGGGCGCATACTGCTAAAACAGGAAAATACAGCGATATAACAAAACACCCAAAGCAGTGCTTATGTATAAATCATGTCGAAAAGCATGTATATTGATAACAGAATAACTTCAATATGTTTGCAATCATTTTATAAGATTTTCAATATTTTGGAAGAAGTTGGCTTATTTTTTATCGAGAAGTTGATGTCTCGTTTTAATACTTGCGTTAAAATTTGCTTGGAAGATGAAAAGAAAATACAATGGTTCATAAATTATGTAAAATTGTTTATAATTATTTAAAGCCTGTTTACACGGTATGATTTGTAAGATTTGACTCGCCCAATCTTAAAAATCATACAGCATAAATGGGAAAATCATAAACCTTTTATGAAGTCAGATGAAATAAATACATGCCTATTCTGTCTGGCAAGTCACATGGTTTCAACCAATCAAAAGCTACATCGGGAAGGTTGATCTAAATAAGGTACAATTAGCACGTGGATTTACTCCAACTTTTCCTCCAATTTAATTCTAATATTAATGCGATATTTTACATACAAAGCTGCTTATCATTAAGAAACGGAAAGGTTGTATGTATTTGCCGTTCTCCAAAAATAAGAACTTTAATTGGAGAGAAATATTAATGAACTGCATATCTGACAAATCATATACAATGTAAATGAATCGCTGGAGTCAGACGTGAAATCAAAGACGCGTACAGAGCGTGTAAATAGGCCTTAACCAGATTTAATTATCCAGGTTAAAATACCAATTTTATCTTAAAACAAAAAATAGGGTAAAAAATACTCTTACATTTTGGATCGATTCTTGCTGTTGTGGTGTATTTGGAGTCAAGATCTGCAATTGGATTTGGAGTCAATATTGCTGCTGAATTAGGGGTTAAAACGGCTGGACTTTGTGGATTCGGGGTTGAGACTCCTGGATTCAGAGTGGAAACTGTTGGATTTATTGGATTCGGAGTGGGAATGACTGGATTTAGTGCTGGTTGTGTTTCAGGAAAGTCAACATCCACTATTTCTTCAGAAATTTCCAAGCTTTCATCCTTGTATAAATAAAAAAAAAATAATTTAAATATACTGACGAACTTTAAAAACGCAACACCTATTTTTTCATTATAATTTTTTTTCAAAAATATTGAAAACTTTTATTGCAATCTTCTTTCACCATATATAGTGCTGATGTTTAAATTCCACTACCCGACTTACCCATGCTGGTTGTTTTCACGATGTGAGTAGTATTGCACAAGATAATCGGGCCTTTTTAAAAACATATGGAAAAGTAAAAAGGGAGTTTTGTCGTGATCAATCAACTTTGTCGATGGAAGTATTATCACTACTAATAAAAGAAATCAAAATAAAGACCATGTCGCGGTAAAATAATGAAATGCGAAATCGAGCAATCGGTTTGCTGCACACAGGTGTTAGTCTGTGGAAGGTAGCAAGGCGCTTTAACGTTAATCAATTAGCCGTTTGCTGCATCGTTTTCATCAGACAGGATCAATAAATTTTCGTCCAATACCAGGCTAATCGTTTGTGACAATACCACATCAACAGGCGTACATACGACAACGTCATTTGAGAGAACCTTTTAACGACAGGTCCGACCACGGCGAGGGAAATTATTGGACGTCATGGGAGGACTATATAACCTAGAACAGCTTCTAGAATTCTAAAACGCCATGGGATTCGGTGCAGAAGATCTTACAAATGGCCACATCTAGAGCAGCATCACCAACGACGTAAGAGATTGCAATGGGCCAGGCAGAAACTGAATCAACGCCGGAATTGGACACAGGTTGTATTTCCAAACGAATCTAAGTTTATTGTATTAATAAATGTCATTTACGACGCAAAATAAATTTTGTATAATATCCATTCTTTAAAAGATTTGATACACACTCCCATACAATGTGCTTTCTGGCCATGTTTATAAAATGTATAGTTTAAATTTAGTTTCAAGGAACACAAATGAAAGCCTACAAACT